AAAAAAAAATACATTATCAAATTGTTAACAGATAAAGTATTAAAAGTTATTCTTAAAATTATCAACAGTGAGTAATGTTGAATGTCTAAAAGACCCTCAAGTATAGTCTAAAGCCAAAAAACTGATTAAGCTGGCCTTTATCTCTACAGCCTCCATGATAACTCCTCCCATGAGAAAGGAACACTGTTTCTACTTTGTAGCTAGGAAACTGGAGCTCAAGGGTGAAAGATCTTGTTAAATTTGGCACTGACTAAACAGATGGGGGAGTCAAGTTTTGAATACTGTCGCTAGTTTTGGCTTCTACCAGTTTATACTGGCATTAGAGTCACCTTTGCTAAGCTACTTCAGTAACTTCATTTGTATGTGAGAATTAGAACAACTTAAATTCAATTCCTGTGAAACTACGTAAAATAACCATATGTAGAGAATATCATAACTACTTCAGAAAATTAACTTTAGAGGGCCTCTCTGGTGGCACAAGGTTTTTAAAGCACACCACTATGACGCTATCTGCAGCTACTACAGCAGGAGTTGATCCCTGGCCAGGGAGGTGACCTACATGGCACAGCAGGCCTCTCCTGCCTCACGGTCTACTCCCCTCAACAATCTGCCTGTTCTGTTCTCCACTCTGGCTCTAGTGAATTCTCTCACTACCAGCACCTCTGGCCTATACCCCAGTTCTGGTATGCGTAGGTAAATGTTTAAAAAAAAAAAAAAATTAACTTTAAGTTTTCTGATGGTTAACTCTAAAGGGTACAATTTCTAAAAATTAAGAATATTAAAATATAAAGTTATATATTAAGAAGCTTTTAAGTAAATTTATACTTAGAGGGTATAAACTTACCTGAAGGATTTTGTAGAAACTTACTTCCATACCAGGAACCAATTGTTTAAGTTTGTTCATCAAATCAAGAGTTTTTAAAACTACATCAGCAGCAAGTTTGCTTTAAAAATAAATCATATTTAAATTAGATAACTCAAAAATAGTGTGAGCTTACTGCTATCCAAAATTCTAAAGAAAACGATTCCTTTGATTTTATCCTTAGAAGATACAGTATTATTCATTTTTAGATGAAGATCCTTATTACCCAAGACCGAAAGAGAACAAACTGGCATTACTAGTCTAAGTTTATGTATTTATTTAATATCCAAAAGGGCAGGCTTATTATAAAAGGGAAAGAATAAAGGACACATGCATAGACACAAATGGGTGGAAAGGGTGGCCCCAAAAGGCACAGGCTGCTAAGAGGCCTGCATGATGGCCGGCAGGCGGTCTTGAGGAGCGCTGTCTCTGCTGAGGAAGGGGTCAGCGCAGAAAAGCCTTGGCATGGTGCAGGCCACAGGCAGGCAGAAAGACTGCTGCCCTGTGCAGGGACAGAGAGCTGGTGAGAAGAGGCACCAGAGTCACAGGTAGACTAGAAGACAACAGTCTTTCTTCCCAAGTTTAAGCAATGTTTTTATTTCCTAATCTGAAATACCAACATGCTTCAACTTTGTTTCCAACACTGACAACATATCCTATTTAATTCTTAGTTTTGTCACTGGGTTATCTACAATAAGAGGGTAACTTTAGGCAATAGAGAATGTCTAATATTTATTGAATCAATTTTACTAAGTCTGTTCTCAGCCTTGTATTTGAGAGGAAGTATACAAATTTAAAAAAAAAGAGAGACAATTATGACATTTATGGATATGGGGGGAAAATCCTATCACCTACCATTTAGCATGTCCTCAATAAAAATTTGTTAGATGAACTCGATTCATGTGGGAGGAGGGGCACAAAATAATCTAATTACTATTAGTGAAAATCTGTATTTTTAAGTCTTCACATGCTAAGGAAGATTCTGTTACTAGGAAATCTTCAGCAGTTAATGACTTCCTTATAATAAAAACTATCTTTTTTTTTCCTTAACATTATAAAATGAAATGAACATAAAAAAAAATAATTACTGAGATAACATCAAAATAAAGTTCCGGGGCCCTTCCTGATGGTGCAATAGGTTAAAACACAGCACTGTGAAGCTGTCTGTAGCCACTGTAACACGAGTTTGATCCCCTGTCGGGAAGTGACCCACATGGTGTGGTAGATCTCTCCTGATCCACCTGCTGCTCCCCTCAGCTGTGTACTTTGTCGATCTGCCTGTTTTGCTCCCCATTCTGTCTCTGGTGATCCACCCCCTGCACCTCTGGCCTATACCCCAGTTCTGTATGCATAAAGAAATATATAAAGTGAACTTCTAGAAAAGAAATGTTTGGGGTTAAAAAAAAAAAAAAGACCAATTAGAACAACACAAGCTTGAACAATGAAAAAAAAAATTACTCCACTTTTCTTTAGAAGGATGTTATCTGTGATTTTAGACTTTAAAAAGTTCATTATAATATTCTTGTAATTCTCTACTCCTTGAGTTAAAAGCATACACCCAAGCATATTCTTCAAAAGGGTTAAGAATTAATGTATCATTTAATTTTTATTAAGTTTTATTTTACCAGTTGAATTTCATATACTCACCATAATTCAGAATCTGCTACCTTTGTTCCAAATCCCAGGTCAATCTTGCCATATGTAAACTGTTGCTCTATCAGAGTGGTACATTTGAGAGTAGTCAAAAGTTTTGCAACGTGCATTCTTAGAGTATCATCTCCACACAGAGGTAATTTTTGTTAAGAAACACAAAAAACTCAACTATCTGTACAGCACTTTACAACATCAGAATGAGTTCAGGCAAATGATCTCATCACTAGTTAGGAAACTAGAATTCAGCAGTCAAGTGACTGGTATGAGACAAAAGATAGGACTGAGGCTAGAGTTCTGATTCAAAACAGGAAGGGTCTATTTTTCTACTGGATGTTACTTTTATGCTAGCAAGTATCACAATAGTTCAATAAATATCTGTTGAGCTAAGGAAAGTTATTTTTCTCATGCTTTGTATATTTAAAGTTAATCCAAATAGCTTTCATTTAAAAAGGGTAAAAAGTGGTATAATTCAAAGAGAGAGAGACAAATATATTACAGACATCTCTATGATTAAGAAAAAAAATCATGTGTCCCTATAGTAAAGGCTTTCAACTTTGGTTACATGGTTTTACAATTACCTTTGTAAGCAATCCCAAACATTCTTTCCCCAAGTGTTTCATATTACTCAATTAAAATCCCTTGGAAAAAAATTAGAATCTCTGTAAGTAAGGTTCAAACTTTTTTTTAAAATGTTTTCAGAGGATTTTAAATATAGCTGGAATTCAGAATCACAGCTGTAATGAAAAGGAAACTTAAGAAGCAGTAGCTTAGAGTAGAGATTAAACAAATGTCAAATTTACTCTAGGACAGGAAAAAGCTGAGCAAATTTTTGTTGCTGAGTTAAAAGAAAACCTGACCAGGAAAATACAAGAGATCTGATTGTGATACAGTGGCTTCTTGTTGACATTAAAAACACATTAATTGAAATATTAAAAAATTTGGAGTTGGACTTTTTAGTGAATAATCACTGAGAATTAGGTGACCTGAAAACTACCAATACAGAAAAGACCTAAGAGAATTAGTATACAGAAGTAAAGGGACGCTAATTGTACATATGGTTTTCTGTTTTTAAAATTAATTTGTCTTTTTTATGACCAAGTATGATGTCATTTTTATTAAAACATTTATGGAGATTTTAATTTTTAAATACAAACTAACACAATGACAACTCTTATTCTCCAATACAGTCTACCAAAGAATGGCAATATAAATCACCCAGAGGCAGCAATTAGTATGGGAAGATTTATAGTACTTGTACTTGTTAACTGCTTAAAAATGTTCTAATCAAATTTTAAAATAATTTCTGGAAATACTCTTTAGCTTAAGTTTTACACAGAAAACAAGGGGGTTGGGGGAGGGTGAACCTTGGTTGCACAGGGTTTAAAGACAAAATGCTGTCAAGCTGCCACCAGCCACTGCAACATGAGTTCGATCTGAGCCAGGGAGCTGACCCACATGGCACAGCAGACCTCTCCTGTTACACCTGCAGCTCCCCTTAGCAGTGTTTTTCAGTACTTCTATCTGTTATGCTCCCCAGCCTATCCCTGGTGAATCCTCCACCCCCTCAATGGCCTACATCCCAGTTCTTGTATGCATAAGTAAATAAAATAGAAAGAAAACAAGAGGGGAAGTTTAGGTGACTTTTATAGATTCTTCATAGGAAATTAGTATTGGAATTTAAACTTTAAGTTAAATTCTTTTTTTTAAAAAAAAGATTTATTCATTTATGCATACAAGAACTGGGGTATAGGCCAAAGCTGTGGAGGTGAGAGGATTCACAAGAGACAGACTAGGGAACAAAACAGACAGAATGACTGAAATACTTTGCTGAGGGGAGCACCCTTTGAGGCAGAAGAGGTCTGCTGCATGATGTGGGTCAGCTCCCTCGCAGGGGATCGAAATCCTGATGCAGTTGCTGCGGATAACTTCATAGTGCTGTGCTCTAACCTGTGTGCCACCACAGAGGGCCTGAGTTCAATTAATTCTAAATAAAAATAATCAAGACAAGACAAAGTTATAAACAAAGCAAAAATGCTGTAAATGCAATCCTAAAAAAGAATGAGTGGCTATTTAGTGTCCAAGCTTATAACAGTGAAGGATATTTAACAAAACTTCAATGGCCTTGACCATTCTTTCACATTTTTTTCTTATTAAAGTCTCATCTAGGTTTTGTTCTGTGAACTGAAGTTGATCAAGGAGTGTAGGCAGCAACAGGGTCACAAAGCGGTCAGCTGAAGAGCAGTTAGCAGTGTCTATAACATCCTGGAGAATTAACCACCAACAATGATTAAACATAAAAGTTAGAAGGAATTAAAGAAAGTAGAAGTAGTCATGAGTGAGCTATAACTATGAGATACAGTCAGCTATATCTCTTTAAATTTTTTATAATTACTTCAACAGTTCACTGACCTGTTGTATCTCCTATTTTATACCTATGTTTTTATGCAGTTTTCTGAGTTATGACTGTTTCTCAAATGAAACCAAAAGTTTGGATTAATCAGCTATAAATAGGATTTTTTATAATGGACTATATTTGTAATTTACAAATCATTCTAAAGTAAAAGTATGTACTTAAAACAAATATCTGATATTTGCCAAATGTACTCTGGCTTCTCTTCAGATGATATAAAACTTACCCTCTTTTTGCTAAATTTTCTAAATGTAATCACAACAATTAATAATTTGCAATTAAAACTTTACAACCAAAAATAATTTCCATCAAGAATCTCTAAAGGGCTGAAAATACTTGTTAACATTCAACACCAACATAAAACAGTAAGAATAATGTGGTGCATAATCCAAAATAAAATTATTCACATGTTTTGTTGTATGAATCCAGACATTAGTGGGGAAATATCTAAGAAGATACCAGAGTAGGAATAATGGGTATAAAAATAAGAAGAATGGTAGAAAATGCCATAATATCCAGGCAGTTGGCTCTACCTGATGGCCTCTATGGCAAGGATTTTTATCTCCCAAGTAAATCCAAAGTTCTTGCATTAATTTATCCAACAATAAACAGTAGTTAGTATCTACTGAGATGGAGAAAAACCTTGACTACTGCAAGAAATAGTTACAGCACAAACCACACAAATTTTAGTTACCTACATTACACTGAAAAGCACACACACACACACACACACACACAGGCTATTCAGAAGAAAAAAAAAACACTAATAGTTGTGAATTTGCTACAAAAGAGAAATTCAGTAGCTGAATGGTAGACAATTTCCTAATGTGTACAGTAACTCGAAGTTTATCATGAATGGTTTTGCAAACAAACTGTTCACTTAGAATTATAAAAGTCAAGTTTTCAATCATTTGATTACCTCAAATATTTCCTTGAACAATTTCAGTGCTAAAATGGAACAGTTTTCTGACCCATCCAATGGCTGGCTTGACCAGCGAAGCAGAGCCACAATAGGTTCTAAGCATTTAGAACGGCTTCCCACAATGATGTTGCCAGATGGAGACTGTTCAAATATCATCTGAGTGAGTACATGCCGCAGCTGAGTCACTGAACAGAAGGCAAGAAGTAATTCTAAAACCTGTGCAATATAAAATCTTTAGTAAATGTCAATTTCACTGACTTTAAGGCACAAAGTAACCAACTGATGAAGTTTCAAATGGCATATTTTTAGAGAAAATGTCCTAAAACAAAAATTAAAAGCAACTTCTAAATTTTTTTCAGTATTGTTTTTCAAAATGTATGACTAGATTGCAGAAGGTTGCAAAGAAATTCAATGGCAGTGACTTCTGTTAAGTACATCTTGGCAAGTCAAAGAGAAAAGAGCAGTTCAACTCATGTTATGGCCTTCTATTGTACTTAATTATTTTTTTTAGCACAAGCATGTTTTATTTTAAAAATGGAAAAACTAATTTAAAAAAGTAGCAATTAAGAATACTTTTATCATTTCAGGATTCAGGAACTGCTATAACGTATACTTTAGGGTAAGATAAAAGCAGCATCCCAAAGTGTTAAAACCTTTATGTTTTTTCACTATCAGCATTATGCCCTTTAGCCTTCCTTTTCTAGCTCATTTCTTCCTTACTTTATCAGTAAGCTTTTATATTAAAATCCCACATAAACCTGTTTATGAGTTGGTAGGTCAATTAAGTTCTACCTTATTTCATGTACTTGCAATTGATCATTAAAAATAAAACTGTTGGGCCCTCCCTGGTGAAGCAGCGGATTAAAGAACAGCACTAAAAAGCTAAAACCACTTCAGCATGAGTTCAATCCCCGCCTGCCTCGGAGGTGATCCACCATGGCGTGCCAGACCTCTCCTGACATGCCCGCTGCTCCCCTCAGCAGTGTACTTGAGTCAGTTGGCCTGTTCTGCTCCCCACTCTGCCTCTGGTGAATCCTCGCACTGCTCCTGCACCTCTGGCCTGTACTCCAGTTATTTGATAAATAAATAAATCTTTAAAAAATAAATAAATAAAACTGTTGGAATCTTTCTGCCTATTCACTTATTTTCTACCTTTATCTATTTCTTATAAATGACATAACTGGAAGTTTCAATCAGCTCAAAGTATCTGATATAACAGAATTATAATAGAATAAATATAAATGAATCTTTGATTTTCTTGTAAATATACACTGCAATACCTAATTTACTTGGCTCCATGTTCAAGGTATCAGCCTGAACTCCAGTTACACCCCATGAGGCTCAGCAAGATTACCAGTTTCTTCTTTATCTTACTAGAGGTATATATACGAGTAAACACTTTCTCATGTATACTTTTAATTGAAGTATAACATACTTCATGTATACCTTCTCATGTATACCTTCTCATGTATACTTTTAACCGAAGTGTAACATATACAGAGAAGTAGACAATACAATCACTGTTGCAAAACCAAAAGATTTTGCCAAAGTGAACATACTTGTATAACTAACATGTAAAAAAAATTCTACCAAAATACAGCCCATCCTTGTGATATTCCCACCCTCCTAGGCTCCAACTATCTCTCCACATCATGTTGATGATGTTAGTTTTCAGTAATTATTCTAACAGAGAAAGTTCATTTTATTCCTCCTTTGCTTGTCATGAATGAATTATTAGATTTTATCAGCTATTCCTCCTTAAATGAGTTGTGACTTTTCTGCTAATAAGATAATACATTAATTTTCAAATATGAAGCCACCCATGCATTCCTGGAATAAATTTTATCTGGTAATGATAAAATTTTTGTATATTATAATTTTTCTTTTTGTATATTATTGGTTTGGGTTTTCTAATATTTTAAGATTTTCTGGAGCTATTGAGAAAGACTGGCCTACATTTTCTTTCTTGCAGTATCCCTGTCAGGTTTTGCAATCAAGGTCGTATAATGAAACATAATTGTGCACTATTAAGTGAAAAATAAGATATCCAACTAGTTTTTCCCACCAAGATACTTTTACTGCCCCCCACTTCAATTTATGATCATAGTCAATGTCTATTAATAACAACAAATACCCTACAATTACATGAAACACAGGTGAATGTGTGTTGAACATTATAGGATTTTAATGACAGTTCAAAAACAGAAAAACCAACATTTTTGTTAAAAGTCAAAATGGTTATTCTGTTATTGTAGACATGGAGAAGTAGGTACTGACTGAGTACAAGGGTTTCAAGAGCAGTAACAAAACTGTTTCCTAATCTATATACTGGTTGTGATTGTGCTCCAATGATACAAAGTTGGAGAGTTGTGTGCTTAGATTTGTCTTTATATTGCATTTAAAAAAAAAAGCTTTGAGTGATAATTCATGTTTTACATACCTTTGAAGATAAGTTTGAGTGATAATTCATGTTTTACATACCTTTGAAGATGAGTCAGGATCTTTTCCATTAAGAAGACCTAAAACTTGATTCAGACATGAAGAAAAGTGTTCATACCTAGGTTTAAATAAAAATAGATGTAACAGTATGAATCAGAATATCAAAAAGGATTTATAATAAAATAGAAAATTTAAGTATATTTTCATCCTTTTATTTTGAGCTTCTGAAATAGAATAGTGTTGCAAAGTTTACACTTAAAATCCAAAATATATTCTACAGTGAATAAATTTGTGACCAAAAAAAATATATCATTGAAATGTTCAGTACCTCAAATAACCTCTCCCCCAACCCCCCAGGTTATATTTAGTTATAAAATGTAAAAAAAAAGAGCAGTCTAATTAATTAGACCTTATGGCATAACAGAGACATATATGGAAGAAAACTAGTATTCAAAAAACAGGAAAATACGTTAACATGACTTCCTATAATAAAAATAGTCTTTAAAAATATCAAAATGTTCAAGTTTTAAAGTGCCTGTGAAACAGGTTAATCAAGATGTGTACACTGTGAAGAATAACACAAGTCTGTCTTTCTGAGACACAAATTGAAACATAAATGTTCTTTCCTCCCCCTTAAGACTTTTACATTTTAAGTTAAGAAAGCAAAAAGCACATATCAAAACAATTCTATCTAGTTTATTGTGAATCAGCAGAATTCCAGTTTACTAAAAAAGGTAGCTTCATTTACTATAAACACATCCTGGCTTAAAAAAAGTCACAAAATTTGTCAGAACGTCATACCTGGTAAGATAATCAGCAATTTTAGGATTCTTAAGAAGATCCATCAGTAGATCAACTGAATATTTTCTAGTTAATGTGCCATCACCATTTATGAGAATATTAAATATCAGTTGAAAAGTCTGATGAATGTTTCGAGCATGGAACAGCTTAAAAACAAGCAGGAAAAAGTATTTAACACAACCAAATTTAAATTGACACCAACATATAACAAGACACAGCCGCTTTTAAAGTATCAGAAACTATAAGCTTAAAAATTATATTTGCACATAATAATAAAAGATAATAATTACCTTTTCACCAACCTCTTCATTTAATGTCAAACTGGATAATATTGAAAGTGCAAATACAACCACAGTTAAACTACTGTGGGCCAAGAAGCTTATAAGAGTTCGATAAAAAGATTTCACATTATTCTGGGGAAGAAAAAAAAATGTTTTTAAGTAAATTATAATGAAACATTACAAGATATAGAAAATATAGAACACCACAATATAAGATATAGAAGATATGAAAACAACACAAGATATAGAAGATATAGAAAAGTATATCTTGTACAGACTAGGTAAACGTCTAATGAACACCATTACCACTTTAAGAGACTATTCAAGGAATGAGATGATACTTTCATATACTGCTTAAAATAGTGGAACAGGCACAATATCAGTGAAGAGCTGTTTAGCTTTTTAAATCACCTCCATAACTCAAAATAACCTCTACTTCCAAAGTAAAGCTAGGTCAGGAAAACGCAGTCCATGAACAAACGAGATACTGTAATACTGAATATGGATATGGTACAACAGGGAAAATGTTTACAAAGCACCTAAAAGAATCAATGAGCTTTCTAGATTTAATGCATTTCTAATAGTGATTCAGTTAACCTCATTTGTGTGCCTTCACTCTGTGTACTGGTAGTTGACACCAGACACTTACTCTTGGATATCTCTGGTGGTGGTATTTAATTTTGTGGAAATACAAGAATGAAGTAATGGGACTGCCAAAGATGTGCTTCCTCTTTATCAGCCCAAAATAACCTAGCATTTCTTATGTTATTTGATATGACAAACAATGGGATGTTATGAAAAAGGAAAACTGTTAGTATTCAACATTTGTATTAATCCCTAATTGTCTTTTGTATTAACATTTGTATTAATCCTTTAACTGTCTTGTATACAACAAATAAGGTTAGAATACTTCAAAGTTATCTGATTAATTAGCTGAACAGTCAGCTAAATGAGGCATGAGAATTTTTTTAATTTACTTTTTAAAGAAAAAGTGGATAAAACTGTTTTTAAGTATGGAATGCAACACTCAAAAAATACTTAATAAACTTCTTACCAACGTCTTTATGTGTGTTTGAACAGAAAGATTCTGTCGACAAAGATTTGCCAATAATCCTAGACAAGGCATAGTTAATTCATCTTCAGAAGATTGACTATAAAAAATAATAATAAAGTTCATTCTATATTACTGAAAGTATATGGTTTTTACATATTTAAATTTCTTTTTATATACATCGATATTAACATATGAAGTCAAGCTTTAAATAATATTGATCAATTATTTCCTACTTTGAAACTACTATTCAAGGCAGTATAAAAACATGAAATTAACAGTGACAATGTTATCCCAGCAGTAAGTTCAAATGATTTTCAGTTTCATTAATTATTTTTATGTTTAAGTCAATCCATTTCAAAATTCATATGAAAATTACTGTGCTTTACCCTAGTTGATACTTGAAGACATCTAAATAAACAATCACGAATTTAGTTTAAAATATTGAAAAAAATTAAGGAAAACTGAAATATTACTTGGTTTTAATTTAAAAATAAACCAACAGATTATTTCATGTTTGATTGCATACTCACATATGATCAATCAGGAATGTAATCAATTCATCTATATTGGCACCAGAATGAAAAACTCTGACATTATATGTTAACCTCTGCAGAAGTTGAATGCACTGAGAAAACAAAAAAATGAATATAAACATTAAGAAAAGTACTGCTGTCTCACAAGAATGGATCCTAGTACACATTCTGAGCATATGAGCAAAAAATTTTAGGGGGCAGATTTAGAGCAATAATTTTACGGTACTTAAAATGGTTTTGTCTTTTTAAAAAAACACATACAAACTAATGATACTTCTAGTACCTTAGGGAATTGTCCTCATTCACTTGTCTTTATACATCTTTTATCAAACAGATTATCTTCTCACTTAAGTATGGTGCACTTAAGTATTTGAAATATGTATACATGTTGAACACATGCAGAATTTTTCCCCTTATTTTACCATCTTTAAAAATGCATGCCCATTTAATTGGCGATGCTTTTAATACCACTGGTGGCAGTTTAGTTTCAAAGAAATATGATGGTACAAGGGATTTGACTTTATGTTAAATAAGGCTTACTACAGCTTTAATATTATGGAGTGTTTTAAGATTGAGAATAGATGCCAACTCAAACTACAAATTAATATGAATGGCTTAATTTCAAAACGCTGACATCTGTGTTTATATGTCTGTCAAAGCAATTATGTTATTTTTATTTAATAATAGTGTTAGATGTGGATGTTTCCCTATTCTAGAAAATGTAAATAGTACTACTATGTGACTATGTGACTATGTGATCAACCAGCTCTTAAATTTATAAATAGCCAATTTGCGTAATCATATAGCATCATGACAGTATAAGTACTAGAAATTAACAGATACTAGCAATTTTGATTTGAAAATAAGGTAGGATAAATACTAAGTGACAAAGTAGTTTTTGGGTGTATATACCTGCAAGAATACGGAATCGTTGTGGCAAGCACTACTCCGACAAACCACTCCTGCAAGAACACTGTTCAGATTGTATGTATTCTGAAGACAGTCTCTGGTTTCACTGTCTACAGCTGTGTGTTAAATAAAATGGCACAAAATACATCAAGATAAATTTAAAATGTACTTCATATTAAATATGTTGTCACATAAAAAGAGCAAACATGAGAATTTATTTACAAATACTTTCTGATGCAAATATTTAATTACAGAAATCCTATGAGCTAGAAAGGGAAAGGAGTATGAGTTATTCATTTCTTGTTAAACAAATGACTGATACGGAATACATTAAAAATCAAGGAAAAAGGTATTGCATATAATTTGCACTGTTACACATTTATCATTTTGTTTTCTCTGCTGTAAACAATAAAATCTACTAATAAAAAAACTTTAGCAGAACCTTTTTGGAAAGCAATTTAGTAGCAACTATCAAATTGAAAAACGATCAAAAAATTCTACTCAGGATTTATTCATAAAAACACTAATATTTGAACAAAAATACATAAGTCACTGCATTGATTCTCCTAGAAAAATCTGGAAAAAGTACGAGCACCTACAGTAAAATGGTTAGATTATAGTATACTATAATACTATAGACCTTAATAGCACTAGACAGCTTTTAAAAAGATACCAATAAGGAAAGATATCTAAAATATGTTACATGAAAAAAGAAGACATCTGGTGCCAAGCAACACTATTTTTGTTAAAAACAATCAAAATTATTTCAAAATTATCTGGAAAGCTCATACCAATCCATTAAGAAATATACCCCAGAAGTGGGAATAATGGAGAGGTTGGTACTGATGAGTAGGCTTATTTCAATTTACTCTGTATATTTGTGCTATCTAATTTGGTAGACGCTAGGCCTCATGCGACCCATTCAATTTTAGGTTCATTAAAATTGAAGCTTCGTTCTTCATTTTATTATCCATACCTAAGTGCCTAATGAGTGCTATAAGGAACACCACAAACAGAACATTTTCATCATATTGGACATGTTCTATATTAACACATCTGTATTAGAAGGGTTGTTTTTTACAAGTGTTACTTTTATAATTATGGATATAAATATCTCCTTTCCACCCTAAACACAAACAAATAAAAAAGTAATCATTTCAAATAATTTTTTTAACAGATTTATTTATTTATGAGTACAAGAACTGGGGTACAGGCCAGTGGTACAGGCCAGCGGTGCGGAGGGTTTGGGGTGTGTGTGAAAGGATTCATCAGAGCCAGAGTGGAGAACAGAACAGGCAGAATGACTGCAATAGACTGCTGAGGGGAGCAGCAGGCGAGAAAGGAGAGGTCTGCCAATTCATGTAGGTCAGCTCCCTATGCCGGCACAGAACTCGGGCTGCAGTGGCTACAGAGAGCTTCACAGTGCCATACTTTAACCTGTGTACCATCAGGGAGAGCTCTTAAATGAAAATTTTTTAAATAAAGGTAGGAAAAAAAAGAAAAAGCAACATCTGCATTTTCATCCTCAGCAGTAAGTTCAGTGTAGTCTATCATAAGAAGATGATGTTTTGCTCACTGACGTTTCAGAGTGGTGTTATTTAATACTGATATTATGTATATTTTTTAAGTCCAAAAGTAGGCCAGCATTTCCCAAAGTGCAATTTTTTTCTGTAGCCCACTGAACATTTTTGATATGCTTCAGATTTTTATTCCAATAATTTCAACAAACACATACACAATATTCAATTTAGAAGACTTCCACAATGCAAAATAGTTCTGAGAAGTAATGCAATTAAGGTTTCTTGAATGTCAATCATTCTCCAAAAGATTCTTTAAGTATATGTGCCCTTTATCAAGTATTAAAAACATCCAAAAATGAAAAAGGGAAACTAAACACATTACCTAGTTGAGATAGCAAACTGATGATACTTAAGATCAGTGGGGCACTTATGTTTGGGTCTTCAAGTAGCTCTACAAGGCAACTCAAGCATTCACTTGGTAATATCTGATTTGATGTAAACAATCTTGTAAGCTTCTGACCAGAAATTACCTATAAAATAATAATTAAATATGACAGTTAAAAATGGGCAATTTTCATCTCTTTCCATTTCAAATTAAAAAAAAATCAGTTTCCAAAGTGCCAATCCAGGCAGAAATTATACTCTGCGTTATCCCTCTTATATACCTATAGACCACCTTCCCAATACCCTCGCCCCTCCTCTTTACCATCAAAAAAATTGAAGGTTAGAAGTAATTGTCAGTCTCACATTTTTAAAAATGCTTTTTGAATGTTATTCATCAAATATCTTCTATAAAGTCACTTTAGATGTAGAATGTGTTTTGAACATTTCATATAAAAATTTTTATTGAAGTAACATTTTTATTTCTGTAAAGATTTTTACTTATTTATGTATATAAGAACTAAGGTATAGGTCAGAGGTGCAGAGGTGGTTGGAGTGGTGAGAGGATTCACCAGACAGAGTGGTGACCATAACAGACAAATATACTAAAGTAAAACTGCTGAGGGAGCAGTGGGTGAGACAGAGGAGGTCTGCTGTGCCATAAGGGTTAGCTCCCTGTCCAGGGATTGAACTCATGCCACAGTGGCTAGAGACAGCTTGATAATATTGAGACCTTACTGCTGTGCTGCCAGGGAGGCCCCAACATTTCTCTTTTTAAAAAGGAATACTTAAGCAGGCTTTTTAACATGCTCCTAATTTTTCCTTTGTGTCCCTCTTTAATTCCCTCACACATATGTCAGATTTTCTTCTAAAGTTTTAACATTAAAGTCTGTAAGGCTGAAAAACTGATCTAAAAGTGAAATTACCAATAGAAATGGGAATAAAGAATCTTCTAAGCAAACTTATTTGCCTATGTCCTCTAGAAGATAATGACATTTTCTGCTTTAAGAAAATTTTCTTCAAGACTGGACCCATATTTCAACAATATAAGTATTACAGCATAATGTTTGCTACAGTGTAAAATTTGAAAATCATCCTTTAAATTTTCTTCTTTATACATACACTTTTAGTAATAACTAATTCTTTAGCAAGTTATTCTGGCCAAGTTATTGTTCTAAGTACAATTTAATTTTTTTTTT